TCAGAGTCTGGCCTGTTTCACTTAATATCATGCTCTTCAGTTCCATCCATTTTATTTCAAATGACATATTTTTGGTTTTTTTTTATGATGAAATAAAACTCCATTTTGTATATTCACCACATTTTCTTTATCCCACATCCCATATCCCACTTCTTAGAGTGATTTTGGGTACTGGTAATTCCAACCATGGTAATTCTGCACCACGGTTGGTTTGGATGACGGGACTGTGGGGACAGAGCGGAAAGGTGTGGGATGGTTCCAGCAAGGACAGGGATTTGCAATATATGGAAGCCACAATTTCTAGAAGCTAAGGATGCGGTTATTACTACAAAGTTGAGAAAATTTGTCCTTTTTTTTTTTTGGTTGTTGTTGTTGATTTGTTTCTGTTGCTCATCTGCTGTGTTGACTGCCGAGAACTTGATTGGGTATAAGTACTTTGTATGCTTGCCTGTTCCTCAGGTCCCATCATATTACAGCTTTTAGGAATCTGTGCAATTTTCTTTTGAACTGAACTAATGGAAAATGTACTACGATGTTAAATGTTCAAAATTGGAGCTAGAGAATTGGACTGACTTCTCTTTTCCCTTCCCTCATAGTCTCCCTCTACCCCCTCAGAGGAATGTGCTTTTGACCTTTATGGGTCAAATTTTTATACAGCTTCACCAGCTGCCAATAATTAAAACTCCATAACCAAACAAATATGTTGGCTAAATTTTTGGAAAAAGCTTAGGTCAATGAAAGTCTAGTGCTAGGCTGCTGAAGTTTGTTATATAGATATGTATCTTATAGTACTGATTTTAATTAGTGCATGAGTTTTGAAAATTATTTTGTTTTCATTTTTTAAACCGCTCTTGGGATTTTGAACATAATTGCTTTCTATTACCTATGAGGTCTGCCAAACTTGCTGATTGACTTCAAAGGTATTTGTAGGGACATGGGTCCTAAGTAGACTATTTGGAGAGTTTAAGTATTCAGAATTCATTCAGTATTTCAGCTCTTATTTTACTTTCTTTCATGTAATACATCACCAGTTTTGACATTTATCCATGGGTTAGTTGAGATCTTAATAAATTTTAAAACAAATGTTAAAAGAGGTGAAAGACCTCTATACTGAAAAATATAAAACTCTAAAGAAAGAAATTGAAGAATACCTTAGAAGATGGAAAGATCTCCCATGTTCTTGGACAGGCAGAATTAATACTGTCAAAATGCTCATACTATCAAAAGTGCTATACAGATTTAATGCAGTTCCTATTAAGGTTCTATAGAAATAGAAAAAGCAGTCATGAAATTCATTTGGAAAATAAGAGGCCCAGAATAGCCAAAGCAATCCTCAGTGAGAAAAGTGAAGGAGGAGGCATCATAATACCAGACCTTAAATTATACTGCAGAGCTGTAGTAACAAAAAAGACATGATATTGGCACCATACAGACAAGACTAGTTGTACAGAGTAGAAGACACAGAGACAAACCCACAAACCCTAAAGAACAAAAATATGTCATTTGAAAGAAATGGATGGAACTGCAGAGCATGATATTAAGTGAAATAGGCCAGACTCTGAAAGACAAGTATCACACGCTTTTCTCTCTGTCTTCATACTAGACAAAGGCGCCATTAACATACATTGGAGAAAAGACAGACTTTTCAACAAATGGTGCTGGGAAAACTGGAAATCAATATGTAACAAAGTGAGATTATACTTTTATGTCTCACCCTGCACAAAACTCAGCTCAAAGTGGATCAGAGACGTAGGCATTAGACCAGAGACTGAACACCTACTAGAAGAAAAGTTGGCCCAAATCTCCATCTTGTTGGCTTCGGAACCAAATTCTTAAATAAGACTCTTAAAGCACAAGAAGTTAAATAAAAAATCAACAAATGGGATGGTATCAAAATAAAAAGCTTCTTCACAGCAAAGAAAGCAATCAAGAATGTGAATAGAGAAACTACCGTATAGCAGAAAATTTTTACTATATGTACCTCACATAGAGCATTAATTTCCAGGATATATAAAGAACTCAGAAAAACAGGAAAAAAACCAAATAACTCAATAAGTGGGCAAAGGAACTGAATAGACACTTCACAGAAAAAAAAATATGAATGGTCAACAAATATATGAAAAAAGGTTTAATATCTCTAGCAATTAGAGAAACGCAAATTAAAATTAGAATGAGATTTCATCTCATTCTAGTCGGAATGGCAATTATCAAGAATACAGGGCTGGGATTATGGCTCAGCGGTGGAGCGCTCGCCTAGCATGGGCGCGACCCGGGTTCGATTCTCAGCACCACATAAAAATAAAGGCATTGTGTTGTGTCCATCTACAAAAAACAAACAAAAAAAAAGATTTTTTTTCTCTCTCTCTCTCTCTTTTTCTCTCTTAAAAGAATACCACTAACAATCAGACTACAAATTGGTGCAACCACTCTGTAAATCAATATGGAGGCTCCTCAGAAAACTTGGAATGTAACCACCATTTGACTTAGTTATCCCACTTCTAGGTTTTATCCCACAGACTTAAAATCAACATAGTACAGTGATGCAGCCCCATCATAGCAGCTCAATTCACAGTAGCTAAGCTATGGATCCAACTTAGTTGCTCTTCAACAGATGAATGGATAAAGAAAATGTGGTACATATGCACAATGAAATATTACTCAGCCACAAAGAATGAAATTATGGCATTTTCCAGTAACTGGATGGTATTGGAGACTATCATGTTAAGTGATATAAGCCAGTTCTAAAAAACCAAAGGCAGAATGTTCTCTCTGATATGCAGATGCTGGCTCACAATATGTGTGTGTGTGGGGGGGGGGGGGGGGGGCACACCAGGTTGTAAGGGGGGGGGTGGGGGCAAGGGAGGAGGATGGGAATGAGAGTAGAATGAATTGGACATAACTTTCCTGTGTTCATACATGAATACACAACCATTGTAACACTAAATCATGTAGAACCACAAATTGGGAAATTGTACTCCATTGTATGTATGATATGTCAAATACATTCTACTGTCATGTATAAGTAAAAAGAATAAAAAATTAAAACTAAATTATATTTAGTTTTCAGATTTGATTTTTATACAATAACTCTCGAATACCAACTCTCTGCTAGGTACTATGAAGGAGGAATGAACAGAAGAATAATACGTAATCTTCACCTAGCTTCAAATTGATTTTGAGATAAACCTAGTTCATGGCAGAGAACTGAGTGTCAGGTTGAGTCATATAGAATATAAATACCAGAAAATCAGAATGAGAAAGATCTGGAAAATATGTTTGAAGAAGGCTAAACAGAGGCAGGAGAACTGGAAACTGTCTTGAAGGATGGGAAGGAATTCTGTGTAGTGAAGATGAGGCTGGGGTAAAATTAAAAAGGGGGGTGCAGCTCAGTGGTGCACATTGGCCTAGCATGCTCAAGGCCCTGGACTTAATCTCTAGCAGTCGATGGGGGTGGGGGGTGGGGTCATTCTCTGTTTTTTTTTGTTTTTGTTTTTGTTTTAAGCAGAGAATCTGAAAAAATCAGAAAAATATACACTAGTGTTTAAAATTTTTTTTTTACTTCTCTAAATCTCCCAGTGATAAAGTGTGTGCGTGTGACTTTACACACAGTTGACCCTAGGCAGGAGAGCTAGTGACAATGGCCTACTCCTAAAACAAAGCTAGTTGTTGGCCGAGAGGAAACCACCCTTGGTGGGAAATCTACCAAGTTTCCCTGGCCCTATGATCTTGAAAAATACTAGTATTTCAATAGTTTGTTTGGAAACTCAAGGGTTTGTGGGTGCTGCTCAGCAGAAGAGTTTGTAAGGACGTCCACTTTAGGAATGGAGTTTTACTGTTTACCTTTGCTAAATGATGGATGAAAATGGCACATTTCTGGTTGACCTCTCTGCGAAGAGGCCTTTTTATTGTGTATTATTTTTATTGTGTCTTTTACGTGTCTAGATTTTTTTTTTTCCCAATAGATGGAGAGTCTCAGTTTAAGCTGAAGCAAGGGATGTTTTGATACTATCTACAAAACTTTTCCCTTGAATTCCAGGGTGACTGGGAATATTTTCTTTTCCACATAATTACTTAGAGATGCTGTATTTTGGGTTTGCTTTCTGCTTAGATTTATTTCCATGAAAAGTTTCTTGGCAAAATGTTCGTTGAGGTTATTAAAAAAAAAAAAAAAAAAAAGATGATGTTTTCCAAAACGAGTTAGGGTATTCAGCACTTTGTGTTTTTTAAGGATTTAAATAGGAAAGTTTGGGTTTAATAAAAATTTCCTCTTCCTTTGGCAAATGGTGATGTTTTTCAAGTCTTTCTAAAGGAAGAGGGAGCCTGGGTGGCTTTTTGTTTTTGGTTAGTTATCTGGAGGACCTCTTCCCTTCCACTCTGAGCTCCTTCCACACCATTGTTTTACAAGTCTTTGAACTAGATATCGACTACTGAGAATGTTGCTTGAAATGGAGCAAAACCAGATATTTCCAAGTTTCTCAAGAAATTGGTGACTTTGGTTTACCAGTGTCTCCAAGGAGGACCACGGGTCTGGAAAGTGAAGACAACTTCTTTTCATTCTGTCCTTTGTACTACTGTACTACTCAGACAAGTGCACATAATAATTAGTATACATTGTCATTGTTTTTGTTTGATTTTTTTTTTCCTTTTCTGTAATGGTCTTGACCACGTGACATAGGGACTTTGAAGGAACTTGATTTTGAAATTTACTAACCTCTTAACTGGGTTTGTGTCATTTCTAAAAATGCTTGACATCAACACACTGCATATCCATGTTTTCAAACTTTTCCATTCATATTTCACTTGTAAGTCAGCTTTTGTTTCGTGATCCCAGTTGAAAAACTTGTCAAGTTGTGTACTTCTCTTTAGCCAGCGCATTCACAACTACAGAATTTTCTTCTGCTGAGCTACAAAATTTTCTTTCTTTCCCTCTGCAGCCCTGAGCGTTCCTGAGCATCGCATTGCCATAGGGAGACTGCTAGAGAGCTCCTAACTCCAGAGGACTCCAGGAGCACCTCCCAGGGAACACGGCCAGTGAAGCTCTAAAGGAGGGTGCTCTGCTTGAAGGACTGTGGGCAGATGTGACCAGGAGCCAGCTTTAAGGTAGCTGAGTCAGCTTTTCTTCGGACCTCTCCAAGCAGCGCAGCCAGAGCCAGAGCCAGAGTACAATCATTTCAACAGATCACCTCTTTTAATGCTGTTTGGCAGAGATCAGATTTACAGGGTAATTTCTTTGCCATAGATGATTATTTTGTTGCTTTATATGAATCCAATGTTAGAAAATTAGAGTCAGCCTACTAGTTTTTGTTCTTGCATTGTCTGGACGGTAAGCTTTTGGGGTGATGGATCTACACCTTTGGTCTTTAACTTTGGCTAAGTTGTTCAAATACCACCAACATTTCTCCTACATATAAAAATGTTTCTGCCATTCTTTTCACCATATAGGGCCACAATATTTACTTTTTTCTTCTCACGCTTATTTCCCTCTCTGTGGTAATGGGGTTTGAACTTAGGAGCACTCTATGCTAAGCTTCATCCCCAGCCCTTATTTATTTATTTATTTTTAGACAGGGTCTTACTAATTTGTCCAGGCTGACCTTGAACTTGACATCCTCCTGCATCCTGGTACACTGGGATTACAGGTGTGTGCAACTGTGCCTAGGTGAATCTTTTTATGAAGACATTTTTTTAACATATAAGTAAAATTTATTTATTAGTTATGTTTAAAAAATTGATGAAATATGATTACACATTTTGTTTTACACCTTACTTTTCCCCTCCATTTGATATACTGTGGACCTTTTTCCTTCCAAGCAGAATTCAATTTCAGTGTAAGTAATGCCTGTTTAGTATTCCTTACCTGGCTGTAATAATAATAATAATAATAACTAATGTTTTAGCCTATAACTTAAAGGAGGTGGGGGAGGGGAGGCCTTTCACATTAGGGAACAAATCAGTGTTGACACTAGACTTGGAGTCATTAACCACATGAGTTTATATTTTCTATGGCAGATGATGCGCTGCTTTAGGCTGTTGCTGATATATCAGTTATGTCAAATTTTCATTTTTAGGAGACTGTGTTGATATAGAAGCATGGTTGTTAGTTCTGGCTACCATCCTTTGAGCATTTTGAAGTACTTTCCTGCCCATAAGCTAGTGTGAGGTTGGATTAGTTTTAAGAGGAAGTCATGAGTAATGGGGATGGCATTAAGAGACTGACTGTATTTTGTATATTTGTTTATTTGAGGGGAAGGAAGAGAAGATGAGGCTGTAGTTAATTGCTAACCCTGTGATTCTTAATTATGAAACAAGGTTAAATTTATTTAGCTCAGTTGTTTCCTAATGTGACTAACAGTGAGAATCACTAGAGAAGCTTTCAGATATCTAATAGTGGCAATGGATATTTGTATTTTTGTTATTGTGTAAAGTATTTATTTTTAGAAAAGTAATGTAATCAGTGTAGACAAAATTTAAAAGACACAAGAGTGTGCAGTAAAAAATAAGTCTCCCTTTTCCCCAAGTACCCAGTTACCCTGGGAAACTGTTGTTACAATTTTCTTTCAGAGATTTCAGACCATGTATAATATATAAATATATATCCTACTATAAGTTACTCATTCTTTTTACACAGATTAAGAATATATAAAGTTTTGCATCTTTTTTTTTTTTTTTTTGCATTGGAATAATGTTTTTTTGGAAATTCTTCCCTATTAAAGCCACATTCATTTTCAGTGAATGCCATATGTTCTCCTGTAAAGACATGCTATAATTTATTTAACCAGTTCCATATTGATTGACCTATAGATCATTTCCAGTATTTATTATCATGAACAGGGCTATAGAAAATAACTTCTTATATCAAACACGAGTCAAATGGACTCTGTAGGATCCATTTCTAGTAGAATTGAAGGGTCAAAGGGTACATACATTTTAATTTTGGTAGAAATTTATTGCCATTTTGCTTGTTCATACAGCTTGAAAGTTTAAGATTTCGCCAGAAATGGATGAGAATGTCACTTCTTCATATCTTTGCCAATCACAGTATGATTACTAAACTGATAGGTTATTTATTTTTTTGCCAAATTACTGGGTTTAAAAGGTGAGTTTAGTGTAGCTTTTATTTCCATTTTTCTTATTTTGATTGATGTTGAGTATCTTTTTGTAAGTTTAAAAGACATTATATTTCTAGATCTGTACCTTTTATTCTTATGTCTTTGTCTGTTTTCCCATTGGGTTATTGTTTTAGTCAGTTTTTTTTTTTTGTTTGTTTGTTTTTTGCCACCGTGACCTTAAGACCTGTCAAGAACACTTTTACAGGAGGAAAACTTTATTTGGGGCTCATGGTTTCAAATAATAGATGGCTGACTCCATTGCTCTGTGACTAAGGTGAGGCAGAACATCATGGCAGAAGGGCATGGTGGAGGAAAGCAGCTCAGAACATGACACTCTGGAAGCAAAAAGAGCTCTACTTACCAGGTACAAAATATATACCTCAAAGTCATACCCCCAGTGATCTACCTACTCCAGCCACAAGGCCCTACCTGCCTACCTACCAACAGTTAATCCATTCAAGTGGATTAATATATGGATCAGTTCAAGCCTTTCATAATCCTATCATTTCACTTCTAAACTTTCTTGTATTGTCTCACACATGAGTTTTTTGGGGGTACCATATATCCAAGCTATAACAGTTTTTGATTTTTATTATCAGAATATTGACTTCTTATGAAAATATTGCTTTTTATTATCAGCTTATAGCTTCCTTTTTTCTCCTTGTGATATGAACTATTTATATTTTTCCCCAGGTGGTCATTTGTTTAAAGGCAAATAATTTTGATGTTCTGACTATTAAACATCTTAAATAGTTAAATTTGCCAATTTATTCACTCAACAAGTATTTATTAAATGCCTTTCTTTTTTTTTTTTCCGTGTTAGGAACTTGTTCTAGGCACCTGACTATATAGTAAGAAAACAGACCCTAGCTCTTGCTCCTTGAAACTTCCATCCTGTTGGAGGAGATATTCAATAAAAGATGAACAAATAGATTTGTAGAAGTAAATATATAATCAGTCTTTTTGTGGTTTCAGACTTTTGTATCACAGTTCAAAGACTTTTTCCAGTTACAGACTTAAGAACCTATCTCCTGGTTCCTGGTCATGTTATTTTGTCAGATTTAAATCTTTGATCCATCTGGAATGTTAGGTGTGATCCAACCTAATTTTTTCCGAGGTGCCCTTTTAATTACAATAAAGCTAAGTTGCTGTAACCTAGGGACTGAAATATGTTGTGGTTCAAAGAACACAGAAGTCTATATTTTTTTTCCTCACTTAATAATTCTAGTCTGAGCAAAACAATTTAGCAGGACAGCCCATATCTATTGGTCATCCTGAGATTCAGGTTCCTTCTGTCCTGTTGGTTTAGTAATCGCTCACTCTGGTTATCTTCATGCTCTTATCTGGGATAAGTGATGCGAAGTTACAGGCACCATTGCAGCTTATGTTAGTGAGAACTTACAATCGGTGCAATCTAGCTGCAAAAGAGGCAGGGAATTGCTGTCTCTAGTGGTCACCGGATATCCAGAAAGAAGGGAAGAAAGAATTTTAGTAGAAAATTAGCAATCTCTACCATATTGGTTAGCATTCCAATACCCTCCTGCTCCTCTGTCACTATTAGTTCCCCTGTCTTGCCCTTGGGTCTCCAACCCTGCTGTCCCATGGCTCTCAGTACTGGTGTTACCCAGTCTTACAGTTTTAATCAATAGTTCCAACTTTTCTTTGAGAAAAGCTTCTATTGTAGTCCACTCCCTTCTTCCAAGAATAAAACCTGTTATTATTGGGATTTTGTATAGATAAACTTTGTTGGAGAGGGTTCAAACCTTTAAGATGTTAGTTTTTCTTATTTGGTGTTAGTGTTGTGTAATTATTTGGGGAAACACTTATTGAGACTCTTTTTTGTTTCCTCTGACCAATGAGACTTATATAATTGAAATAGATGAGAAGGAAGGAACAACTTATATGATGTTGTGTTAAATACATGGTTTTTGATTCTGACTAGGAAACCAACATTTATTTCTCTCTTCTACTAAAAACCAACTTGGAATTTGAAAAACAATTTTCCTTAGTTTAAAGATAAGGAAGGGTTAATATTTCAGAAGTTTATTGCATAAACAGGAACATACAAATCGGGGCAAAGTTTTGCACATGCTGTATATGACACACAGTACTTATTGCTTGCTCAGTCTCTGTGTGTCACAGCACATATTTAGCTTTTGTCTTTGACTTTTAATTGAAAAATAAAACAAATTTACTCAAGCAACAACTTATTAATTATTATAAAGTGAATTTTTTGTGTGACCTCTATACAGTTCATGAAGTAGTATATTCTCTACAGTAATTGCTTTCTTGCCTTTCTTTATAGTTTTATCACCCAGGTGTTCACATTTAGCATTATAGTTTATTTTTGCACATTTTTAAAAAATTTCTTATCAGGTTTCTCTCTCCAGTTCTCTGTTCCCCCCAGTTTGTTGAAGGACTCAGACATTTGACTTTGTTTATTATTGGGTGGTTTTTGATGATTCTATCCTCATGATTCAATTCAACTTGTTATCCTAATTTAAGTGGAAAGTGGCATTTTAACATCACAGTGTAGGTACCAGGGGTGCTCACTGCTACTAGAAGGGTCAATATTTTGAAGTTCAATAATGAAGTATGTATAGAAATTACTTAATGCTGATACTTCAAATTCAGATTAAAAGGTTTTTACTTAATCTTTTCGGTGTTGCATCTATATCTCCTTTAGTCCACATAGGGAATTCTGGTTCTCAAAAATAATAGGGAATGACCAGGCATGGTGGTGCATGCCTTTAATCACAGTGACTCTAGAGGGTGAAACAGGAGGATCACAATTTCAAGACGAGCCTAGTCAACTTGGCATGATCCTGTCTCAGAACAAAAAATTAGAAGGACCTGTGAATGTAACTTAGTGGTTGAGTGTTTGACGTGCATGTGTGTGCTCGTGGCCCCAGGGTTCAAACTCCCCACTACTACCAAAAAGAAAAAAAGAAAAGACCCCAGTTACTCATTTACTTTCACCCACATTGTATG